ATAAAATATATATTTAATAATATGTGAAAGAAAAACAGCAAATTTAATTGAACCGAAAGTTTAAATATATTTTACCAATCACGTATAAGTTTTCATATATAGTATTGGAGTGACATTTTAGATTTTCTCATTTGCTTTCGGTTTCTCTATTTGTTTATGACATTCATATTTTGATAATTTATTAGGTGTGAGATCCATATATTACTTGATTTCATTTAAAATAAAATTTAAATATAAAATTTCAAACATTTGAAAAGATTGAATATATGAGAAAAAAGTGAAAAAAATAATTAAATTAATAAAATTAAATTTAGTAAATTTGAAATTAGAAAGAAAATACATTAATAAAATTGATATGTATTTATTATTATTTTTAATATTTAAATACTATGTAGAATTTAATAAAATGAAAAAAAAAAACCATAAAATAACATTTGAAAAAAAATAAAGTGAAAATAATAAAAAAAAAGTTATGTGGCATAATATATTAGAAGATGATAAGTGACAAAATCATTTTTATTTATAAGAGAGGATAAAATTTGTTAATGCTTTCTTGTTTTCTTTTATTTGTTTTGTTTTATATATAGTGTTCACAACAATTAGAACGAAAAAAATCACCTTATAGCGATCTCAAAAATAGATGTGGTAAGTTTAGGTTTTGAAGATCTCTACGCGTTTAACAAGGCTTCTTAACACCTCCACTACCATTAGCCATAGATGATCAACGTCACTTATAAGATATAAGATTGGATGGAGACTAAATCTTTCAAATCTTGTTAGATGAGCATCACTTAATGAAATCACTCAACATATTTAACTTAAGGAAAAAATATGAATTTTGTTTCCTTAAATAAACATTTATGAAAATTTAATTATTTGCACTAAACTATTATTGGAAAATGCAAAAAATAAAATGAAAATAGATAGGTATTAAAATTCCATGTTTTATCGTACAATCCTTTTTGTATCGAAAATAATGCTTCGTTCTAAATATATAGATGTAATAATCTATTTGCGCAAAAACAGTAATCGCTTTTTAACACTAATTTCCGAAAGAAATTATTCGCACTTGTCGTTTGTCACAGGTAAACGCTAGTATAGTATATAGATATCATATATGGTGTTGAATAATAGCCATAATATTTGGTTGAATTAGTTTTTCACGAAATATTTGCATGGTATGTATCAGCGGCGGTTGGAGAAGCCCTAATATCATTCAATATATATTGATACATGCAGAGGATTCATAGACAAGCAGCAACAAATCGGAAAAAGCAAAAAAGCAACAAAACCAATGGCTACTCTTCAATTACCGCAACAAGTTCCTTCTCCTGCCCAAGACTCTGAAACCCTCAGAAAAGCGTTCCAAGGTACCATCTCTCTGCCATCACTGATTTGATTGTTTGCATCGCATTTTTATTTTTGATAGTTTAGGATACCCATCCCATATTCCATTTCTCATCTGGGTTTTGTCCAGATCCAGAAAATGTGTGGATTTTTTACTTCTGTCAAGTTTTCGTTTTTCTTAATAAAATGATAGAATATTAACTAATTAACAAGATGGGGAGTGATGTCAGGATGTATAACCGATGAGAAGGCTGTGATTAAACTATTGGGTCGTAGGAATGCAGCACAAAGAAAGAACATTGGAGACACTTATCAGGAATTATACAACCAATCTCTCATTGATTCTCTCGATTCTAAGCTTTCTGGTGATTTTGGTGTATGTTGTTTTTTGCATCTCAATATATGAAAAAGAAAATACACATTAATTTTAGGTAAAGTTGAATTCTTGAATTTGCATAACAGAGAGCAGTGATGTTGTGGACATGCGAACCACTAGAAAGGGATGCAAGGATACTCCACAAAGTGTTGAATTCAAAGCAAATAGGCATGAATGAATTAGCAATAATCATCGAAATCTGTGTTACATCGTCTCCATCCCATTGGTGGGCTATAACAGACTGCTACGATTCCCTATTTGAATCTAACTTCCATCAAGACACGAGTTCTGATATTGTCCCACGAACATTTGTATTGGTACTCACGAGTTCTTGATTTGGTGTCTGTTTGGATCAGATAAACTCTCATTTTTAACAACTCGTTTCCATTATGCAGAATCTACTTCGGTTTATAATGCCTTTCAGGAAAAGTTTGCCAACTGTAGATTTGGATTCGGTAAATGATGACACAACCAAATTAAGAAGAGCTATTGAGTCCAAAGAAATATATGAACTTGATTTTGGCTCAATATTTAGCTCGAGGAGCTTCTTGGAGCTCAAAGCAATTTTCGAATCTTACCATCAAAAATATGGAAATCCCATTTCGGAGGTTTTGTGTCTTAACCTGTTGACAACCATTTTGTTGAACTTCTTAACTTCGTAATTAGAATATATATCACCTTTTCACTTTGGAAATTGAGTATCCAAAAATATGCTGATTGATTTTGATAACTCAAAGTCAAAGAATGGATTCTTTTATAAAGGTTTACATCAATTTTGATTATTTTTACAGGATATCAAGGATTTTGGGGATGAGATGTTGGAATCTTTGGTGAAAATTATGATTAGATGCATTGTTTCCCCTGAGAAATATTTGGCGGAGGTGATTCAAATATGTTGGAAGTTGCTTTAAATATTCACCGAGGCTAGAAAGCTTAACATCTGTTGTTTGGATGGTGGACAGGTGATCAGAGCTGCACTTTCCTGTCCCGCAGGTGTAGATCATGATTCGCTTATAAGAGTGATTGTGCGTCGGGCTGAAATAGATCTGATGAAAGTGAGAGAAGCATATTTTGAGATGACCGAAACAAGCCTTGACAATGCAATTAAATGCAATACCTCCGGAAACTATCAGGACTTCTTGATGGCATTGTTGGGACATGTTGGTTTGACAATGCAGTTGACCACAATTCTACAGAAGACTAGAAAGCATATTCAGAGAGCAGGTCTTTTTCTTGTGTACCTGTACAAACGAATCCTTGGAGATAAACATGATGTATTTGCTGGACCGAACTGTGGTGTGAACCAACATTATATCGTTAAAAACCTCCAAGAGCCTTCTGGCAACGGATGTTATCTGTTGCACGTTGAGGGTTTTAGTGACGGATTAGTGAGGGGTTTTGATGGATGATAATGCCAAGATTTCTAGTAGTTTAGTTAATGGTTTTAAATGGAAAATTTTGAATTTAGTAGTTAGGGTTTTAGAGAGAGAGAGAGAGAGAGAGAGGGGTAGGTTCAAATGTTTCTCACATCTATTGTGTGCTAGAATGCATCAATAATAATTTAATAATAATTATATGTATATTCAATTTATTCATAGTTATAACTCATTTTTATGAGAACTAATTAAATTCGTCATTAATGTCAACAATAATGTTTTTTAGTAGAATATACTCTCAATATTCATATTCCATGCAACTTTATTGTATTTTAAGTGAATGAGTCTTGAAACAAAATACGAACTTATATATAAAAATCTGGCAACGGATGTTATCTGTTGCACGTTGAGGGTTTTAGTGATGGATTGGTGAGGGATTTTGATGGATGCTAATGCCAAGATTTCTAGTAGTGAATAACGTCTGGTCTTTGTGAATCCTCGTTTTGTTAATGGTTTTAAATGGAAAATTTTGATTTAGTAGTATATATATATATATATATATATATATATATATATATATATATATATATATATATATATATATATATATATACACTACTAGAAACAAGGGTTTTTGCGACAGATAAATCCATCGCTATTCCGTCACTAAAGGTCTTTTGCTACGGATCTGTGACAGACTTACTCCATAGCCAAATATAACGTGGCTAACGACTTAGCTAGAGATGTAGCGACGGACTTGTTTTTCCTGGCGACGACTTTAGCAACGGAATATCCATCGCAAATTGGTCCCTTACCACCTTTATTCAGCACATCAGCAACAAAAATATTTCGTCGCTAATCCCTTGCAAACCTCTATATATGTCTTCTCATATGTCCGTCGCTAATCACTAGCAAATTTTAGATGTGATTTTTTTTTTTGTTTCCGTAGCTGATCCCTCGCAAATATATAGTATTAATTTTTTTATTACAAATCTAAAACAAAAATATACTAAAAACATCAAAAAATTATACAATCCCAAATTAAACAATAACAAATTAATACCAAATGAATCATATAACTATACAATCCAAAATCAAACACTAATATTAAAATACTAAAATCAAATATCAAAATTTAATAAAACATCCAAAAACATCAAATATCAATGTTTACCAAAATGATCAAAATCATCAAATATCAAAGTTTAATATTTATTGATTTTTATTTCGAAGTATAATGTACCATAATCTCAATTTTGTCTCATATTTTGAGTTTCCACATACATATTCCCTATTGCTTCATATCTTGCATTGCATCCAAATGGACCATAATGGAATTGGATTCCGATTCCCGTTAAACCCCATGGAATTAGGCGAACCAAGTTCTACTTACTTTTTCCTGCAATGGAATAAGACATGGTATTTGTTGGAAACATGATTTTCTGTTGATGAAGGACATTATTGTCTACTCATTTGAAGCTAAACTAAATACAAGAATAGAATGGAATTGAATTCCGATTCCGACCAAAAAATATATAAAAAAAACATGTTGGTGAAAGAAAATACCATGTTTGCATATTAGTCTTTAGAAATTTGTCTTTTGGGATTTGATCTTCGAACATTTGTATAGACCATTATGGACCACTGAGAAGGTCTTAACTAATCATAACTGTTGGACACAAGAAACCACAAGAAAAAGTGCAAGACTGATCTTAACTGCTAGACACGACATGTCTCAAATGACAATATAGCCCTCCTTAAACTCCTTTTTGCCAATAAATTCCAGAACCCTAACAATCTGAATAAAAAAACAAAGTTCGGCATAAATCCCTATTAATATTCCTATGTATAATCAATCAGTTATTCATCCCTAATACTGACCTGGTCTTCTTTTGGTGCACTTATTTGCACATTAAGACAACGAGAATGAACAACTTCAGTAACCTTTGATGAGCTGTCACAGAATAGGATCAAACGAAAGATATTTAAAATTAAAACACTCATCAAAACAATAACAAATAACATAAACTAACCAATAAATATACTTTCTGAAAGCTGGATTCTTGCTTGTGCAGTTGCAGCATGAGAATTCTCAATATTTGACCCGATATCATCTGAAAAAACAAACATCATGTAATTTACTTTCCTTAATATAGCATTGCACTTATGTTTTTTTTTCATTTCAATAATGTACTTCCAAGCTACTTACCAATCATGGCTCCTTGTTCATGAACCAAAACAGCAAGATCTTTAAAAATCTCATTTACTTCCCCAATTTGATTCTGTATTTCTCTTTCCTCAATAATCGCCTCATTAGGCGCAATCTCATTGTCCAATAACAATACCTCCTATCTACACAACACAAAGAAAGAACTTATAAAAATAATGATGACATGGCCATAAAAAGGTAAAAACGGAAGAACAACACCCACCTTCTAGATTCCACAAGAAGTGCACGTTGTTATGAGTTTTTGTCTGAGCTTATATCGATTTCACTGGCTGCATAACTACAAATACAACCATAACAATATGTTAATTCACAAAGTTAATTCAATTTAGTTCCATATGTTAATTGGACATTTACCTTGAAGGAAGAACATCTTGAAGAACAAAAGGAGTGTAAGCTGTCTATAATCTTTTTGCTAGTCTGCATTCCAACAAAAACAAAAATCAATCACCATGAAAGGAGTGTAAATCTTTTTTTGATGTGTTTGTGTATGAGAATTGAGAAGGAATCAATTACTTACACTAACTTCAGCACGATGATCTGTTTCACTAGCTTGTTTGAGTTTCTCTGAAGTTTTCAATTGTTCTTCTTAAAGAGTGTTGTGCTTCTCTTGAAAGTTTATCAACCTCATTGAGTACTAATACTGATACAGCATATATAAAACACCATGAGCACATTGGTAGGACGGATGTCACACACACACACACACACACACATATATATATATATATAAGAATACTTGTTTGCAAACCTTTGAAACCCTTCTTTCCTTTAACGTCAATTGGTCTGTTCTTTGCCATTTCTATAATGATTTCTTGAACAATGTACTAATCCTGGAACCCAGCATCACTTGGGTTTAGCTCCACTGGTGGGTGCTTCAAAGAGTCGTCAGTTCCAAACCAACAGTTCTACTTCCAGCCTGAAATAGAGCCATGTTTCAATCTTGTTAGGTACCTCTGCATAATCAGGAATAACAAATAATTCAGAAGGGAGATACTTACATCAACTTTCCAGGTTTTTTTCTCCACTTGCACCTGTAAATTAACCAAATTCAGGAAGAACAGATAGTTTCATCATCCGATTAGAGGGACATAAAATTAAACAAAAGAGAGAAGAGATAGAATTTTAGAAAGACCTTCTCGACACTAGCCCTAAACATCTTCCTGAGAAGGGCCATAACTAGGGTTTTATTCAATTCCCCAAACATCTGCCTGAGAAGGGCCATGTTTGCAATTAGCCCCAAACATCTGTAATTTTATCGCAATTCCCAGACTCTATGTTTTTATCCAAGCAATTATAAGAGATGTTGGTGATGCCACCCTTGAACCACCGAGTAGATAGATAGGAATAACCAATAGCTGATTAGGTGTGTGATACAAGATGAAAGAGGCAGATGTCAGAAAGATAAAAAGTAATGTTTACCTCAATTTTGATGTTCCCATTTGTAACATCAAGATTCTCTGAGTAAACCTATTGACCCCATTTCTCTTTCCAATAGAATTCTGATGCGCAATATCATACCAAAAGCCACCAGGATCTTCAATTGATCTGTTGTATATCTCCAACTCCAAGTACTGAAATGGTGCCCCAAATCATCGATTATATGATGAAAATGTTTATTAAAAAGAACAGCGAATAGGTCATGTTTCCTTCTTGTGATTAAAGTTCACTTCGTATTTTGAAAATCCAAAGTAGAAGACTTCAAATTAAAATAGGAATTTTGTCCTCTTTGTTCTTGTTAGGTCAAATTATATACTCATTGAAATAACAGATCTATATGTTTATGTAGCCATCAATCCTTTCTCAATAATCAAAACTAGAGTATCGCCTTTTGCAAGAACTTATGTATTTGACTCGACGCTGACTCTATTTTTCCGACGAAATGAAACAACATATGCAGATGATCTGCTATTGATCAATTTTGAGGATGATACCTTTTGAGGAGAGGGTACGTGTACCTGTTGGGAGAAATCCTGACCGGGAAATACGAGATCGTCCTCCTCGGATGCAAGAGACTCACCGAGTATCACGACATTCAGCTTTGGAATCTTACCGGCACCCGACGGGCGAGTCGCCATTGACTCCAAATGACGGAGGTGATTAGTTGTGGTCAGATTTTTCCTAGTTGCCATGATCGGAAACGTGACTCGAACGGATTTGAGAGTCAGCTCTCCTTCTTCTTCGGTTGGGGCTGAGCAGATATACTAAGAGATCTGAAGAGACAATAGAGGATTGAACGGTGCTGGCGGGGAAACGATGAGTCAATGAGGAATGGAGACGAATCGATAGGGAAGCCAAAGAGGATGTGAGAGGGATTTGAGTCGACATAATGCCAATTAGGGCTTTGGGAAAGATATATGTTGGAATGAAAATAAACCAAGGAACTAGAAAAGAAGAAAAGTGGGGAATGAAAAAACGAGGCGTCAATTTTCTGCGAGCGTTTTTAGCAATCCATCGTTATTCCCTTGCTAAAGGTTTTAATCTGAGACAAATTAACGATGAAATGTTTTTGTCTAGATATTATTAGCAGTCAGTCGATGATCCCTCGTTAATGCCTCTCTAAAGTATGTTAGTCAAAATTTTCATTCATTCCATCGTTGATCCCTTGGTAAGTCGTCGTTGATTAGCTACAGATAGAATCCGTAGCAGATTCTGTTGCTAAAGGTCAAGTTTCTAGTAGTGATATATATATATATATATGGAAAAGTTTAATAGATAACCATAATTATTGGTTCTTCAAGGAACCAAATCTTTTTTTCAAGTTCTAGAGTTTATTCTTTATCGAAAAATATCTAAAAATATCTAAATTCATATATTAAATTGTGAATGTGAAAAACATTTTTATTTTCAAAGATTCACATTATAAATTTGACGGAATTTTTTTTTTTTAATTTGATATCACTGGAAAAAGGATAAAAAGTTATGAATTTCTGTATTTTTAGTTTTTTTTTATATAAAATAAATTCTAAAAGTTGCAAAAAAGATTGGTTCCTTCGTTAATCATGGTTTTCTATTGAACCTCACCATATATATATATATATATATATATATATATATATATATATATATATATATATATATATATATATATATATATATATAGAGAGAGAGAGAGAGAGAGAGAGAGAGAGAGAGGTAGGTTCAAATGTTTCTCACATCTATTGTGTGCTACAATGCACCAATAGGAATTTTGTATTAATTATATGTATATAAAATGTTATTCATACTTATAACTAAATTTTATGGAAACTAATTAAATTCGTCATTAATATCAACAATAATATTCTTACAGAATGAATTCATATCTAGAAGATTGAGAGTGTAATACACTCTCGTTCTTCATATTCCATGCAATTTTATTGTATTTTAAGTGAGTGAGTCCTGAAGCAAAACACGAACTCATATATAAAACCTAGATGTGAATTTATTTTAAAATAATGTTATTGCTGACATTAATGACGGATTTAATTAGTTTCCATAAAAAAGAATTATAACTATCAATATCATTTAATATACATATAAGTATGGAAATCATTTAATAGCTAAATTTTTTTAATTAAATAATTATTTAATTTACTAAATTTCTATTGGTGCATTGTAGCACACAATAAATGTAAGAAACAAAATAACCTAGCCATATATATATATATATATATATATATATATATATATATATATATATATATATATATATATATATATATATATATATATATATATATATATATATATAGAGAGAGAGAGAGAGAGAGAGTGAGAGTAAGGAACATTTGAGAACTCATAGTTTCTCGACAATCCAATAACTAAAGGTGGAACGGTAGATCAAATAAACAGATGACCAACATCACTTGTGGTGTTTTTCTAAAGAAATAGAAACTTATTAGGACAGGGGTATCTAAATTTTAAAGGGAAAGGGTATTATAAGAAGCAAAAAATTAATTTAATATTATCCTAAATCATGGAGCTTGAAAAATATCCCATTCTCTCTCCCTCTCCCTCTTATTCTCTCTCATGGTTTACCCTCTAACGACCACCGTATGTCTGTCAATGACCACCGCCTACAAAACCCTTTGAGATCGTGAATAATGAAATATTTGCCACCGTTCTTTCCTTCCTCCCGTCGTCGCCTCGTCTACTAATTGTGTCGCATCATCACTCAGGCACTTCATTGAAATTTATGGATCCAAAATCGATCCAACTTTTATCTCAGATTATCATCAATTGACATGAAATCTGAAATCCTCCAACGATCAAAGCTTTTATATTATCGATCATCAATGTCGTTGTATCCTAAAATGCAGGAGAATCTATCGATTAACAAAAGAGGAAAAAATATTTGCCAGGGATCAAAAAACGAGAAGAATGGTGATTGGAAAATCGAATATACAGGTACGTGTCCTCTCTATTTTTCTATAAATTCATTCATTTTAATTAGAATAATTATTTATTTTCATTGGATTGTCAATGATGTCACTTCAATTTGATGTATGAATCTCGACTGATTTCTCACGTTAATATCTCCATACGTTTTTATTAATTGTTTACCCTTGATGTTTATCTTTTTTATCTGAAATCTCTTCTCAAATTTGATCAGTTTTTGAAAATTATTGTTTTCATTGGATTGTCACTGATGTTTTATGATTGAACGTACTGATTTCCTTCCTTTCTGATTTTGTAATTTGGATATACAAATTGATTGTCATGTAACCTATTATGTGTATGCAATAATCTATAAAATGGAGGTAATCATTTCGTGAATATGATCATAATTTGGAATTGAATTTTATTCTATAATGGTGCAGTGATCAAACGAAACCTTAATTTGTGCCAGTTTTAAGTTGATTGGGATGTTATTTGTTTATGTAACGCCCGCAGATTCTGGCTAGTCAATTTAGAGATAATAGGAGTCGAAAACGACTTTTCGACAAAAGATTATTTAGAATAAATAATCTTAACCAAGTTTTAGAATATGTATCAAGGGTTCCGTACATATAAAGAGCGCTGAAATCTGAGTTATAACGAAGAAGTTATGACCCGTCGAAGTTTAGCGACGGAACCGACATGGCACCGCGAAGACATAAATAGTGAATTTATGATAGAGCTTCTTTTAGCCTTAGTAATCTAAATGAAAGTCGTAGAATATGTTAACCTAATAGCATCCATAAAAAGAACGCCCAAATATGACTTGTTATGAGGAAGTTACGACTTTTCGAAGTTTCGGCTTAGCGGTGTACAACCTAAAGTTCGAGTATTAGATCGAGCGTTTTTTAGCCGACACAACCTAAACGAGAATCGAAGATATCGTTATTAGTAGTGTAACGATAAAAAGACAGACGAAAATGGACATCGGATAAAGAAGTTATGAGATTTTAA